AATAAATAAATAAATAAATAAATAAATAAATAAATAAATAAATAAATAAATAAATAAATAAATAAATAAATGTTACCATTTTCGATGCCTCTCTTTGTCTGATGACTTTCAGAGGCTAATATGAAGCACCATAAACTGAGGGAATTGGCACACAGTTCTAAATTTGAAGCTCATCATTTTTCCATCTCAACAGTACAGAAGTGTGGAATGTCTTCCCTGGAAGGGGGTTGCTGATTCTGAACTGCAGTGCCCATAGGGGGATGTGGGACGGGGGGTAAAGTTTGTTCATCACTTTCCTTAGAAGTAGGAATCTTGTACAGAATCCTTTTTGTTGTATGTACTCAGCTACTGAAGGATGTACAGTATTTTACCCACACAGCTTTCTTCCTATGACCTAAACCCATCTTTCTCATGGATGTATATGCAAACTTCATACTTCTATTTTGCACATCCTCCTTCCTTCCAGAATGATCCCCACCTGCCTGTGTAAACATCATGTATTTTCACAAACACACCTTCCTATGGTGAGGGAATGCTCACCCATTTTAAGATAATATATACTCTCCACAACACTGCCATTCAAAAAGTCACTGATAAAGCTTCCTTTCATTTATTTATATTGATAATGATCATGTGCTGTCAAGGTGATTCTGACTCATGGCAACCCTTGAGATGGTTTTCTAGGTATAGAGTATTCGGAGCAGCTGTGTCACTGGGGGGTGTATATAACAATTTATAGTTGCTCCCTCCCTCCCAGCAGGTGACTTTCTAGTCCTCTAAAGAAGTGTGTTTGGACACACTAAAACTTATGAAAAATGAACACTACTTAGTCTTATAGGTGCTACATGATTTCTGGTTTCTTTTTTTGCGACAATTGAATAATGTGGCTACCTGTCGATTACCTATTCCTACCAGTGAAAGATGCTTGTAGGTTAAATAGGGAATTCCAAAGGCCACATCCAAATTCCCCTAGCTTTTACAGCTTGTTCTAGGAAATTGGATTCTCCTCATTATATCTGTCATTAGAAGATATTGGGGAGAATGAGTTGCACTCTGTTTTTGAGCAATATCTGTTCTACAGAGTTTGTGAGTTCTACAGGTAGCATTTTTTTAGTACCTGTAGAACTCCAGAACCTCTGAGGTTCTTTGAGCATCCCCAGTGGTCCATCAAAGTAAAACTTTCAGGATTCTTTGTGGTGAATCATGAGAACTAAATCAGTATCAAAGTAATGTGTGTTTGTAATATAACCTTCAGTCCTTGCATTGCTCAAAGAAAAGACAATTAGCTGTCAAACTTGCTATTGCTTTCCTTTCTACCCTTTTTTCCCATGACGACACTTCTTTAATTTTCTTGATTTACTCTGTTTCTTTTCAGGAAAAGTTTATGTTGGTGCAAAGAGAGAAATTGCAGACAGTCGAATTCCACTGCTTAACATATATATGAAGGTAAAGTAAGCTTTTGAGAACTCAATCAGTATCAAAGTAATGTATGCTTGTAATACAACCTTCAGTCCTTGCCTTGCTCAAAGAAAAGACAATTAGCTGTCAAATTTACTATAGCTTTCCAGTCTACCCTTTTCCCCATGATGACACTTCTTTAATTCTCTTGATTTACTCTGTTTCTTTTCAGGAAAAGTTTATGTTGGTGCAAAGAGAGAAATTGCAGACAGTCGAATTCCACTGCTTAACATATATATGAAGGTAGTAAGCTTTGTTTTCTCAACTACAGTACATAGTCACCATTGGCCAGGGAGCTATTATTAGGAAATAATTGTGTACAGATCTATTCAGAGCACTGCAGCCTAAGGTAATTTTTGCAGGAGAAGTTTAATATCCTTAGTGCTTATTGTGGTCCATAACTTAAAGGACCCATGCAAGCTGTAGTAGACATTTGGTTTGCATCCAAAATCTGGACAGTGGTAGCCTTTAAATATGGCAGGAAGATGCCAGAATGTCATGAGGAAAAAGTTCTCTTGTTTACATCCTACTCTCTCTTTTCCTTTGACTCAGAAGCTGCTTAGCCTTCCTTCTTGGCTATTGTTAGATGAAGATGTCCGATTGTTTTTTTATCAGTCGGAATTTGACAGTGTACAGATACCTCAGGGTCTACGGAGGCTTCGCCCACGCACTCGCCGAGTGTGAGTATTTTTATCTCAGCCTTCACCAATACACAACACATTCAACTATAGCCTCTTTGCTTGAAATTTTAAGCTCACTGTTTCTTCCCTTGTCCTCAGTGGAACTGATAAGCCATTGGTCTCCCTCTGCTTTCTGACAGGAAAAGTATTTCTCCAAAGGAACCTAGCTTTGACCGAATGGCAGCCCCAAGGGCTGAGGTAGGTACCTTATCCAACATGCTGCATGCTGTACAAAAGGCTGTGTGGCTGTATGAAGCCATTTCTTTGAACACACGGCTGAATATTTGACAGCCAGAAAATATTGCTCCAGTAGCACAGTCTAAGCTAACCAGCCAGTGCAAAGAAATCAGGTTGTCAGCTTCAACTTAGGAAAGCACACTGTTTAAAAATAAAAGGGAAGTAAGGAAGCGTGAAGGATCTTCCCTTCTTGGCAGTGACAAACATTGTTGAGAAAGTATATAACAGTCACTAGTGATAGATAAAATACATATATTTCCAGTCTGTGTCCCTTTCTCATATGTTCAGTCATAAGTCTTATCTATCCCATTTCCACAGTAATGCTAGGAAAATTTGAAGGCATTGAGAAAAAAGAAAGATGAGATGGAGTGCTTCAGTAAAGTTAGTCATGACCCTAAATTTGCAAAATCTGGATGGGGCTACTAACGGCAGGACCTTTTGGAAGTCGTTAAGCCATAGGGCTGCCCTAAAGAAGAAGTGATTTGATAGCAGATAGCAACAAATCGTATTTTAAAACATACATAGTATTCATTGAAGAGAACATATTTAGAGAGAGACCATCTTAGTGTCTAATTAGATTTATTGGAAAGACAACAGCAAATGAAGTTCTATGGGAATCTGGAGGAAAAGGTGGTCCCTTAGTGATGGCTAGATATTGTTTTGTCCATCAGTACAATACTCTTCATTTCTGATGTTAGTATTGGAACCAGCACTACAAACCACTTAAGGGCAGACACCCTTCCCCCCGCCCCGTTTGTATTTGTAAATAAACATGTCAAGAGAGGCAGCAAGTTCAAGAGAGATATGCTGTTGTAGAAAATAGTTTCAAATTAGGAATGGGAATGAAAAGGTCTGCTTCGTTATCTAAGGGCCTAATCACACAGGTCATTTGAATTGTTTCAGTATCCTATACTGTATTTATATCATTATTGGTATATCATTTATGTATACTCACGTGGTATATAAATCGCTGGGTGCGTATATACCACTGTTTTTTCTTTCTATACATTTCTTGAACATTGAAAAAGTTTTGTAAGCTATATGTGCCATCCCAATGAAATTGACTCATTTTTTGTTCTGTTACAAGAAAAAAAAAACTGCTCTGAAATTGCTGTTTTAATTTTTTTAAAAACCTAAATGATATATCACTAAAGCACCATTTAAATTAATGTGAAGAACTTTAGGAGGCAATATTGAAAGATGTTCCATAACACAAGCTTTCCCTTGGTTGTTCTTTGGTTTTAGGGTGCCTTGTTTCTCAAAGAACAGTAGGTGAGATTCTTCTCCACATTGACAAGCTAAGGGACAAAATGGGGTGACTGTTACAGGAAACTGACAAAGCAGTAATCTCTTGGGGGAAAGAATTACTTTAGCATTTGAAAAAAAAAGTTAAAAGGGGAATACGCATGGTGGCCAAGCAGTGCCTATGGTGCCAAAAACACAAGTGGGTGTGGAGTAGGTTGACAGCAGTGTTCACACATGTCAATCCAATGTAGATAGAAGTGATTCAGGCATTGGATCATTTAAAAAGAAAACATGCGGGCAAGGTTGAAAATAATTGATCAGTTGGCCAAAGGAATCAACTTTACCTATGCATCATGTTAACAGAAATTTATAAAACAATTTAAATAACAGCAGAATTACTGTTGTCCTCTGCTACTCCTGTCCTCTGAAAATGCTGGCCACAGAGACTGGAGAAACATTAGGAAGAACAACCTTCAGAACACGGCCAAAGAGCCCAAAAACCCCACAACAACCAACAGCAGAATTGATAAAACTGTGGCTCTTACGGTCTGTGTGACTGTGCCCTTAATGTGATATTAACTTAGATGTTCGAGGAGTGCTGTTGTGTGACCCCACAATATAGAGATAACAGGTAACAGAACATTGTTTTCCAACCTTGGGTTCCCTGATGTTCTTGGACTAAAACTTCCAGAAGCCTTCATCATTAGTTGGGTTGGCCATTATTTCTGGGAATTGTAGTCCAAGGACATATGGGGACTTAAGATGGGAATGACTTGAATATAGGAATTATCACACACTCATATTTTTTTAGTGGGGTACATGCCAGATACAGAGCAACAAAAAACCTTCTTACTATGGAGTGGTGGGGTGTGCTTTCAGTCAAATTTTGGAATAGGTAATCTGAATTATTGGATGCTAGCTCAGGCATCTTCAAAGAGAGGGAACTACAGTATGTGATCTTTATCAGCGGAAGCCTACACTGAATCTAAACTTTGAGCATTGTTCTCTTTCTTTTCTTGGTTACTTCTTATAGGCACTATTTGATTTTATGGGAGCCAATGAACTGGAACTGAGCTTCAAGAAAGGAGATTTGATCTATTTGCTCAGCAAGCTCAACAAAGACTGGTTTGAGGTAAATATCAAGGCCTAATCTATGGTGAGACACAGTTTGAGTTGCAATATCTATCCAGCATGTACAGTATAGTCATTCCTTTTAAATCAGGTGGTGGTTTAACTTTATTGATGCTACTGGATGGATGAAAACAGTACCAGATTTTATGTCCAAGTCTGTCATGTCCTGATACCAAGCTTAGACTTTTGAAGAGCACCTTCCTTCTGTGTCAGCTGAGCCATTCACTGCAGTCCTCACTGGACATCCTTTCAGTTGCACCACAAGTAGTGAAACGCACCAGACATTTGTGGTATATCTGTGCATGTGTTTCTGTTGAATGGCTCAATACCATAGCTACTGTATTTCAAGCTTTTTTTTTTCCAGATAACTTGTTCTTAGTTTTCTGTATCCCACTCTTTTCTAGACTGTCCTGTGTTTGCTCAGACATGTTTTGATGGTTTTGTTTGCAATAAAATACAATGGCAGCATTCACCTTTCCAGTGTTGAAAGGAAAAAAAGATATTATATAAGATTTTAAGAGTGATTGTACCTTTAATTAAAAACTTCCTGCTCGAAGGTTCTATGTTATTGCTTCCCATTCATTGTGACAAAGGGAATATTGATTAAATAATTAATCAGCTTCTGATCTGAATAGAGGGGAATTCATTGCTGGTGTCCTTGGATTATTATTTTTATTCTTTTATAGAAAACTGGTTACATATTCCACCCTCCCGCACTCTTTTTGCTGCTGCAAAATAGACAAAGAATACAAGTGCTTTGGGGCTGGCAGTTTCTGGGAGAAGGTGGGAGAAAAGCTGCACAGCTATACTGCTGTGACATTTCTCCCTTGCAGATAACTTCCTACTGACAATGCCTTGTAGTGATGTCATGGCTCTTGGAGTGACTTTACACAGGACCAGATTGTTTCTTAGTGCCAGTTTTGTTTTTTTGTTAAGAATATATAGTGCCCTTTACTTTGGGTTTCATTTGCTGCCCTGGGCTTCAGTGATAATTTCCTTGTCAGCTAATTCCATCTCATAGAGTTATCCCCTCAGCTGCACTTGTAGGGAGAAATCTTGCACTGCATCCAAAGATAATGAAATTTTGCTACTCTGTTCTTTGTTTTCTAACTCTGATAATGTCCCCTTTCAACAAATTGAGTTATCTGTTCATCCCAGGGAACTGTTGGAGGCGCCACTGGCATTTTCCCATGTGCTTTTGTGACGGTCATTAAAGACCTTCCACAGGAAGAGGACTCATTCAACTGGCTGCGCTGCTATTACCATGATGACAACGTCAGCACCATCAGGTACTGCGATGAGCCTGCGTTATCCTTCCCTTCCTTTCTTTTCCTGGTTCCTGAAGGTCTTGAGGTTCAGGCAAATCCCTGGAGGACCCTTTCTTCCTATTTCTGAACTTACTGGGACTAAAATGGGCACCGGTTCTTATTTATTATGCTCATATTTATATAGCTCACCAGTGAACATGGTGCTTGAGAGAGTAAAAGTGACAGGCCTTTCCTAAGGGATGTATACAATGCAAAATCTGACAAACAATGGAGGAAAAAGAAGGAGGTGGTGGCCAGGGAGAAGTAGTGAAGAATACATATAAGCTCCCCTTGAGGAGCAAATGCACCAGGTGTCAATTCCTTTACAAACAGAACTGCTCCTGAAGAAGTATATAAGTGAGGAGAAGTTGTAGGAAGGAGGACATTTATCCTGTTCCTGTTCCAAATAGCCCTACCCAATGAACTTCCTTTATGTATGATTTCAGTGGATTTTAAATCCTAAACAAAGAAAAGCCATTTAGGAAGCAAATTGGATTGCAGAGATGATATCTGGAGGGTGAGGTGACACTATGCTCTTACTCCTTCCCTTTCATACTTCTGATTGTACTTTCACTTTGTGAAGTGATTTTGCTCTTGTTTGAAAGCAGTTTTTAGACAAAGGCATTGGAACATTGTTTCATGCCCCAGTATGATACCCATTTTTGCTAAAGTTTACCAGGTGTGGGAACAGCGTTTACCCTCAGCTCTGCTACCAGGACAAAACTCTGAGACAGAAGTTCAGGGCCTCAGGGTGAGAGCCCATGGCAAGGCAAATGGTTATTTCCTCCTCTCACAAATTTATCAGTCCAAGCAGATGTAAATCTTTCCACAGTACCTGGCACATCACACGTGCAAATGAAGCTGTTCCAGGGGTGTGGTTGTGCCAACCTGCATGGGGTCAAATGCTGGCACTTCCCCTACAGCCCGGACTCTGCAGGTGCCTCCTTATTGTCTCTGTCAGATCACTCTCTCCCTCCCAATTCCCCCAGGAGTCATTGGTTCACATCTCTTCAGACTGGCTCCTCCTTCTTCCTTTCAAACCTAAACATGCATGTATCCACTGCCTGGATTTCCTTCATAGTATGCCTGTGATGCTGATCTTGACCTCTTTGGTTTCAGAGACATATCGGTGGAAGAAGATCTAAGTAGTACCCCATTATTCCAAGATCTAATGGACCTCATAAGGTAAAAGCACGCACACATGAGCTCCCCATCAGAATGTAAGGAAAATCCACACATTCATATCCATTTGTCTAAATTCCAGTTTCTCTGCATTTGTACCAGAAAAGTCCATCTCTGCAAGACGTTTTCACAGGGTGGTAGCCAGATATGGGACATGGAATCAGACTGGCAAAAGCAGATGTCCCCACTCCATTTACATGGCATTCTCAGCCAGCCAGGGATCCTGCTGAATAGAGTGGGGCTTTGTTGGAGGGAGGGAAGGAAAGAAACCCCTTCAGTTGGGACCTTTTGCTAACTGAATCCTTCAGCTGCTAGAAAGCTGATCTAGAATTTAGCTCCATGTTCATTAAACTAAAATGACTGAATGGTTCCGGCATTTCTTTTTTTTCCAAACAACTGAAGTATTCCATCCCCTGAATGAAAGCTGTTCTCTTGTGGAACTTTAAAAAAGAATCGGTGTCTTCAGTTTACAGTTCTAATGCAGTCTCTCTCTAATGAAGGATATGATCCCATTGCTATTAACTTACATAGCCCTTCTTACACAATGCCATGCCCTGCCCTTATTTCCACTCCACTTCCGTTCGAAAATGCCAAATTTAGCACCTCATTAAACAGATAAATTGGTATACTGTATGTCTTCATTAGTGCTAGGTTTACCCCAACACCTTTCCTTCTGCTCATTGTCTTTCGCAGTCTCCTTTACCTTGAATTTTTCAGATTGTTGTGCATGTTGGATTGTGTCTGTTGATGTGCATATGTGCATATTCACCAAGCTTTCCAAAGCAGACCTACTTGTATTCTTTTGATTTTAAATTGCTAGAGACTCTTCTCAAAAGTATCCCTGCCTTTTCTCTTTAGATTATATAATCCACAACAAAGTTAGCATAATGCATGTCTTCGACCAGGAATGCATTTGATTGTTGTTTCCTTTAAATAAGAGCCTAACCTTACTGCTAAGTTCCAGGAGCTAGTGTGGTTTCATTAAAAAGGTGCTGAGTTTGAATCTCTACACAATACTCACTGGATAACCTTAAATGTGTTGTCATCTCCTGAACCTGCTCTTCCTCACAAGGTTGTTGTAGCAATAAAATCAAAAGAGGGACAACGTGCATCACAGTGAGCTCCTAGGGATGAAGTAGATCAAAAAGTAATAAATCATCTCTGGGAAGAGTGGGTACATCAGTACTCAGGAGAGAAAATGTGAAAATTGTCTCACTCATGAACAACAAGGAAAAAATATCAGAGGAGTAAAAAGTCTACTGGTTGCAGGAGAATTATGCTGTCACATATGAGAGTGGAATGAAACATCATTTTTAAGGTAGCCCTAATTCAAAGCGTAATTGCTTGACTTACTAATCTGTAAGAAATTCCCATGCAGAGAGCAGAGGTCATTCAACTGCACTTTCTGGTCCATTTCCCCACTAATGGAAGGCTTTGCGTTGTTGACACTCTAAGGGAGCTGTTGTTTTAGCCACGATCAAACTGTTCAAACTGAGGATTCATAAAGGAGTGGGACGCTCCTCTCCTTGGTTCTCAGCCAGGACCTGATCTGGGCAGGGTATCGGCATGCACTGTGTACAGACAGGTAGACTGGCACGCTGCTAGCCAGCTGCTTCCAGAGGTGGCCCTGCAGCTCTGGCCTACTGTGTGGCCTTCTCTGTTTCTGCAGTCTGGGGATATAAGCAGCCTTATACCCACATTTCTAATTGCCGGTCTGGGGATGGGTGGGGATGAGCAGCCTTATACCCACATTTCTAATTGCTTTATTTCTCAGTCCCTGGGAGAAAGGCAGATGTAAACTAAAAATAAAATAAATGGGCATCTGAGAGCTTACCAGGAATGTGACCAAATGACATTGACAGCTATGTTCTTATGGCAGTCATGTGTGAGTCTAAATGCTCCCTGGGGACTCTACGGATGCAGGAGTCTGCTAGTGGGTTTTGGTTCCCCTTTCTGTCTTCCAAAGAAACTCTAGTTTCCATGTCTGGGCAAGAAAGAACCCTGCCACTTCTCTAGGCCACAGCATGGAAGCTCTTTTCTTTACTCAGGAGCAATCGGGGCTCAACCCAGGAACCTTTCATTTTGGGAATCCTCCTTGCTGAGCTAGACGAACTGCAGGATGAAACCCCTTCCTGACAGCGAGGTGTCCACAAGCTCTGGATTGGCCCTGCCAGTTCAAGCTGAGTGCACGAAGGGCTATAAAGGCCTTCCTGTTTGGAGTGGACTGTTGCTTGGACATCAAGGTCTTCCTCTCTCTTGAGTGATCCTCATTTCTGACCTTTCACTCATTTTCCATAGCTCTGACCATCTGAGCCCAGCCCTTGATCCATCTTTACTTTTCAGTCTGTCCTTATACTGCCATAGCCCAGTATCCTTATACTATGGTCAGAATGAAACTCAGAATCCCCGACCTAGGTTTTAAGTTCATCTCTCTCTTTTATGCTGAGCCAGTGAATTGGCTTCCATGTGACTCAGCTATCCAAAACTTGGTTGTTCCTACCTAGGAAGATTTCTTGTCCTGCAAGAACTTAATCCAGTCCCAGATGTGGCATGAAACATGACTACTGGAAGATGCCTTGCCCTGAATCAGACAGTTGATCTATCTAGCCATTATTGCTTGCTCTGACTGGCAGTGGCACCCCAGGGTTTCAAGCTGGTTTCCTTTCCTGGCCCTACCTGGAGATCCCAGTTATTCTCTGTTGGTCTCCCATCCTGTTTAGCTTTTGAAATCAGATGAGATATATGTCTTTTCAGTGGAATGGTCGAAGCAAGCCCACACTTTCTGTTAAGGCTTTGTTGTACATCAGCAGATTTTGCTTTCTGAGATGAATGATAGCCCCTTCCCCTTTCCTATCCAGAAGCCATTTGGACTCTCAGTTGAATTTTAGTTCACTGCTAGCAATGAGATTATGTTCTCCACCACACCTGAGGCAGCATGATAGTTAAGGCAGCTCAGGATAGGTGCTGTGCTATTTGGAAGGGAGCAGGCAGGAAGATCAAGAGAACAGCTGGGAGGATGTCATGGCTTCCCCCCCCTCTCCACCCCCCCCCCCCGCAGGCAGTTCCCTCACTCTGCAGGTTGATAAGGCTAGTGTCTTAGTCTATCATTGACTCCCTGGGGTGACTATAAATGCTGGCAATGTTATCGTTGGCACTCAGCAAGTGATAAGCTTCTTGCCACCTCCCAGTGAAAAGCTAACCTCAGATAAAGCTAAATGTTCCCTTCACCGTGTAAGATTTTCTTCATGCAGGGAGACTTTGATATGAGCCTGTTTTCAGACAAGTAAATCTGAGACTCAACTATATGATACAGATAACAAATTTTTCAAACCAAGAACTCCTTAAGTTCTGAAAAGAATCTGATCGTCATAGTAGGAGCTTCTCAACTCCAGTATCTTGCAAATTAGCCTGCTTTGTTTTATGATTGGCCATTGGAAGGTACTAAACAGAGGGTTGTTTTTTTTTGCTCAGTTTGATCAGGCCCAAATCTTGGTAGAATCTGTGGTCAGCTTTCAATAACATACTGTTTTTGTTATCAGATTGGATCCTGACACAGATCCAGTGAGAAGACCTGATAAAAAATATAGCTGTATGTTGGAATGGGATCTCAAATTTTGCAGCGCGTATCCATCAAGGGCATCTTCTTTCCCCTCTGATTTAAGCACTAATCCAGAGAGCCTGATCAAACAGATTTCTTGAATGATATTGCAAGGACTGTTCTACCCATTTGTGCATTGCAACTGGTATGAAATTAAGCCCACTGATGGCTGGGTACTGAAGCAAGGCCAACAGTGGATATTCTTCCAGTTTTAATTTTTTAAAAGTTGAATCAAAGTTTTCTTGTATCCTTTTCTTGGCATGATCCAGGACCTAGGATTAACTCTTCCATTATCTTGCAGGAAAGAATTTGGGTGTGAGGAAATTGCTCTGAACTACCGTGATGCTGAGGGTGATCTGATTCGCCTGCTGTCTGATGAGGATGTTACTCTCATGGTGATGCAGGGCAGAAGCTGGCCTTCTGAGAAAAACATCTTCCCCTGGAAACTGCATGTGACCCAGCAAGATGATTATAGTGCCTATAACATAGCAAGGCCTGTTATTTTAACACAAACCACAAGAGAACCATGATCTTTGTTCTAGGTGCTGCTTCAGCCAGAAGGAACGCATCTGTTCAGAACAATATAGAATCAATGTACTCTGAAGGAAACTTAAACTTCTCTACATTTTTGCTTTGATTTAAACAATGCATTACTTAAACAAACAAAGGTGAGTTGCATCCCTAAAGACATACAGACACTATTTGCAGGAAAGATTGTACCCATCCAGTATGGGTAACAACCACTATTTCCTTTTGAAATTGTTAAACATGCCATGGTTTAATTTTATTGGATATCATTTTTATTATCATGGAAATTTCTAAACTCATCTATTTTTTCAAGCAACCATCTTAAAAATACAGGAAAACTAGTCAAATAGGAATTTTAATCACTATTCATTTATAGTATTGTGAATATTGTAAATAGACAATGCTTGTGCCAAACATCTGTAATTTGCAGCAGAGATAGGTCAGGTATGTTCCTGTATACCTTAACTGATGGCCTTCTTTAAGGGACATACAATACACTAGAGATACACCACAGATGTTGTTGTTATGTTTTTACATGCTGTCAAACACAGGTCTCTTGAGTCTTAATCTCTTCATACATCACACAGCGAACAGAGAAAGGTCGGAACACAAGCTGGGTATTTGGATTAGTATTGTACCTAAAATATTTTCAAAGTCACTCAGTCCAAAATATTATTTGACATTTCACAGATTAGTATTTGAACATGCTTGTATCACTCCTTTTTTCACTGTCTGGCAGTGCATGTGCGCATGCACACCCATGGACGCACATCACTATTACAAATTACTGAGTTTATTCTGCTTCTCGGTGCTGTATTTATTTGTTTTGCAACATGCCGTCATCCAACAGTTTAAAGCCAAGTTGATTTGGTTCTCTTGGATAAAAATATGCTAGCAGACATAATTGTGTTCAACTGCAAAGTTACTTTAGAGCCTAAAGTGAAAGATAAGATGGTCAGTTGAATGTGTTAGCAATGGAATAGCATTCACCATGCAGCCAATTATTTTATGGGGGAACAGATCATGGAGAACATCTGGAGCAGAGTTGGCTTCCCTATGCAAATAATAGAGCTGGCTCAATACAACAGGAATGAGCACAAAGTATGTCTGGACATCTCAGCTATCTCAGGGTGATGATTTTGGGTGTCACTGAAATAAATTGCTTTAGGTGGTTGTATTTTTATGGCCAGGAAGGGCCTGAATAAATCCAAGCTATATGGGTACAATGCATTTCACCTGGGGTTTGGAGGACAGGGCTTTTGCTGTTGTGCCTCAGGCCAAAAGAGAGAGAGAGAGAGAGAGAACTTTAAACCCACTCACTACATCAGTAGGTGTTCTCACTCAATGGCTTGCTTCAGGCAGTTCTGAGCAAAATAGCTCCCAAAGCTAAGCTTCATGGAAACAGAACTAAGAGTAGATGGGTGTGTGTGTGTGTGTGTGTGTGTGTGTGTGTGTGTGTGTGTGAGAGAGAGAGAGAGAGAGAGAGAGAGAGAAAGGACTTGTAAACTTGGTTCATCTTTTTTGATCACTTTGCATGAATGCAGAGGCACCGTGTTTGTTAAATCTAAGTGCCTGTTCATCTATCTCTGAGCTATTATCTTACATCTGGCTGCAGCTGATGAACCTCAGGTTTCCTGTATAAAAGCAGTAATAAAGATACAAGCTTCAAATCTGTCCAGGTCTGCCCTAAACAGGGATGTAAATCTTTGCTTGTCCCATCCTCGTAAGCAAAAACGAAGAAACACAACATTATTCTTTTCCCTGGTGAGAATGGCAAGGGATTTCTTGATACTTTTGATAGAGTTCTTGTATTAGCAAGAACTACGGCACAAGAGATGCCAGCATTATTCAAAATATCCCTTTTTTGTGCTCAATTGCACAATTCATGTTATTGCAAAGTTTCCTATAAAGGTGCAGCATAAAAATTTGATGGATTGTTTCCTTATTTTACATTCTTCTCTGCCAGGTTTCTCTCCCTGTTCGTGTCTCTCTCTCCCTCTGTATCTGGATGTGCATGTACATACTTTGCTTCTCAAAGGGAATGAACACTAGAGAAATTTTACTCAGATTCCAGAAAGCTTGCAGACCTGACAGATAACTCTCGACAGAAAATAAAGAATCTCATGGGGCTTTAATACCTTCTAGCTTTCTCATCATGTTGAAACAGCCTAAATCAGTGAGGTATTCTTTCCTTCCCTAGTCCTAAACATGTTATCAGCCACAGAAAATTGTATGTTCAATACATCAGCAATAGTTTTATCAGATTTGGAATAGCAAACTGCATTTTCTGGTGTCTTAATGTGGCCATGTGTGTGCCATGACTATAGATGTACAAGTATCATGCCCTACCATTAGTAATGTAAATTCTGACTTGTTTAATCCTTGAAATTTAAACAAGGTGTGAAGTTTTTTTTCTATGCTGAATAAAATGATGAAATGAGGGATTCCTGAAGAGAGAACATTTCTGAGATGGGATTTTGCCCATTTTTTTCAGATATTTGCTAATTTAAAATGGAGTGTCTTTTGCCTTATTGCATGAACTACTAAAAGTAGTGGCACTGGGTGGGTTCATCTTTGTGATTAATCAACTTGTCTTTTTGTGATAGCTGTGGGAGGAATGAATGCTGTGTACATGTGCTAGTTTCTTTCAGAAATATTTTAGTGCAAATTATGAAAAACGCTAGATGTGTATGTCTCACGCTGAAGGTAAGATCTTGAATCTCAAGAAGCTGCCTCTGTGTATTAGGATAACTAGCCCTGACTGCAGCTGAGACAATGAGGAAACATCAAATCCTTACCCACTAACTTCATAGTGGGTATATAGCTCAAAACTGAATAAGACCTTGGAAGAAGAGTAGAATGCTCTGGTTGGTCCTAATATTTAACAAGGTTCAAAGACAGTCAATAGATATTCCTCCAAGCGTTCCTTTAATAAAACACTCTGCTCTAGTGGATGCAAGTTTGGAGTATATCTGTGCATACTTAGAAGTTTCAGCTCACTGAAAATCAGAAGTCATCCAGTAGTAAGTAGTAGGCCAATTGAATCAATGGAGTGCACATAGGTGTTGACTTCTTAAATCCCCACTGATTCAATCGGCCTACTTTAGCTGAGACTTACTACTGAATTATAGCCAATAATTGATAGTAGAAAAGCTGCCTTCATAAAGACTTCATTTCTTTTAAGGAAGTGCTGGAAAATGGATGTATGTTTATTAGACACACCTTTTCTAGGCTGATTTCACTCAGAGGCTTTCAGAGGCTACAATTCTCCATTTGCTATCACAGCCCACAGTGTCTTCTACAGGTACACTTTTAAGACAGGGCTGCAGAAGGGAAACATGAACCTCAGGAGCAAATATAGGCCAGACGATAGCTGAGAAAACTTATTTTCAGGGAGGCTGCAGCTATCAGAATTCTCTATTCCCACAGTTGGGTATGCATCTGGCCAAGTTTAGTTAGAAGACAACAAGACTTCTGTTCCAAAAAAGTAACTTTTCTAGGTTCTGGAAGATGATTCCCTTATCCCTATTAGATTTGGAAAAAGAGAAGCATCAGATGAATGGACTTCTGCTAAGCTAATTTTATCAAGATATGGGTAAAGTTGAGCATAGTCCAGTGGTACTGAGGTACTGAGGTTCTTCTCTTCCTTAAGACCTTCCCAACTAGATTATGTGTAAATTCAGTTATAGCAATGGGACTTCTTTCTTATTATGTTGAAACGTTGCATTTCTTTTTCTTTGGGATGGTTTTTGTTGCAGCCTGCTGTACAATGTTACAAGCCTGAATTTTGCTATAAGAAGCTGATGATCAGAGCCACAGTCAGCTCCAGGTGTTGTTCTCCCTGACTGTATAGCGCTTCTCCATCTATGGCTGCAGAGAATATAATCAATTTGATTTCAGTACTGCCCATCTGGTGATGTCGATGTGTAGAGTCACCTCTTGTGTTGTTGGAAAAGAGTGTTTGTGATGACCAGCTTGTTCTCTTGACAAAACTCCATTAGGCTTTGCCCTGCTTCATTTTGAACTCCAAGGCCAAACTTACCTGTTGTTCCTTTTATCTCTTGACTCCCTATTTTAGCATTCCAGTCCCCTTTAATGAGAAGAACATCTTTCTCTGGTGTCACTTCTAGAAGGTTTTGTAAGTCTTCATAGAATTGGTCAATTTCAGCCTCTTCAGCATTGGTGGTTGTTGCATAAACTTAGATTACTGTGATGTTGAAAGGTCTGCCTTGGATTCGTATTAAAATCATTCTATCATTTTTGAGATTATATCCTAATACAGCTTTTCCCACTCTTTTGTTGACTATGAGGGCTACTCCATTTCTTCTATGGGATTCTTGCCCACAATAGCAGATATGATAATCATCTGAATTGAATTCGCCCATTCCCATCCATTTTAGCTCACTGATGCCCAGGATGCCAATGATTATTCTTGTCATCTCCTGTTTGACCACCTCAAGTTTACCAAGGTTCATAGATCTTACATTCCAGGTTCCTATGCAGTATTTTTCTTTCCCTTCACTTCCAGGCACGTCCACAGCTGAGTGTTCTTTCAGCTTTGGCCCAAACACTTCATTAGCTCTAGAGCTACTTGTATTTGTCCTCTGCTCTTCCTCAGTAGCATATTGGACACCTTCTGACCTGAGGGGCTCATCTTCCAGCATCATATCTTTTAGCCTTTTGTTTCTGTTCATGGGGTTTTCTTGACAAAGATACTGGAATGGCTTGCCAGTTCCTGCTTCAGGTGGATCGCGTTTAGTCAGAACTCTCCACTATGACCTGTCCCCCCTTGGGTGTCCCTGCATGGTATAGCCCATAGCTTCTCTGAATTACTCAAGCCCCTTCACCATGACAAGAAAGCAATCCGTGAAGGCAGCAATCCATCAGTGATGTTAGTAACAGCAAAAATGCTAGAGAGTGTGTGGTTCCCTCCCTCTCTCTCTCCCTCCTTCCTTTCCTTCCTTCCTTCCTTCCTTCCTTCCTTCCTTCCTTCCTTCCTTAGGGGAAGGTTGCTCTCAGAGATAATTTATGCATTTTTGTGAGTAGAACATTGAGCTTTTCTATAAAATGTGTGTTATTGGAAACTGCAAAAACGCTTTTCTTGTTGCATCAACTAGCACAAGGAACAGCACCAGATGAGTTGCTCTTTTCTTTTTAATCAAACAGTTTATCTGTCCTATTGAGCTTATTAGGCATGTGCTTCACTAACAGAAAGACGAAATGTTTTGAGCAGAAAGCATTTTCACATGAATATTTTGTGCAAATTAAGAAAACACAAGAAAAAAATAATCTGTTCAGCATCTCAGTCTCCCCCTTGACTTGAGATCTCTGAAGGGAGTTGCTGAAAACTTATGACACAGTTTCCTCAGGCCAAGGTGACCGTGTTTGTGTAATATTGCAGCAACAGTGATAGTCTTGCACATCCGAAATTTGAATGTTCTCTTTCAAAAAGATAAGGTTTTGAAAGAAAATGTCTGTTTTGTTGTTCCATTTAAAAATATATATATATCATGCAAGGCAGGGCAGAAGACTAAATTTGATCCTAAATCTTTCACAAAGATAAGGTTTTGAACGAAAATGTCTGTTTTGTTGTTCCATTTTAAAAAATATATATCATGCAAGGCAGGGCAGAAGACCACCCTCCAACCTAAAACATTTGCTAGAGGTTTGTCAGTACTAGGGATGTGAGGATATTATTTATTAATTCCACAGCGCCATCAAGTGTGCTAGGCAATCTGGAGTGACATCAGGTGCAGAGCAGCTTTTATACTACAGGAGAAAAGAAAGAGCATTTATTTGTTTGTTTATAGCTTTTTTGCTGCTTGAATAACTTTTGGCCAGCACTGCTGCCAGCATGAGACTGCTGGAAGCTTCCTTCCCCTAATCAAGGAAGCACTGGCACTC